AAAAAAAAAAAAAAAAAAAAAAAAAAAAAAAAAAAAAAAAAAAAGAATGTGTCAATTGAAAACAATTACAAGATGGCAAATTCTTTTATACTTGTGAATATAATTTTATCCTGTAGTAGGTGCCATGCATTTAAAAAGGGGTACATTAAAATGTAAGGAAATATAGATTTAATAAGCAGTTTTTGGCTTTTTTTGAAGATCATGACCATCCTATTTTGTATTTAGAGATACAGTTTGGGATACTTATATTTCAAGGGCTCTTTCTAGCTAAACTTCTTAGATCAGAGGTCTGCAGGAAAATAGAAGTAATAAAAGCATGTGGAGGGTGGTTGTAAGCATTAAATGAGAAGGTACATGTTATACGCATAGCACAGTTCCTGGCTACAGGGCTTAATAAATGTTAGGTATTATGATTATTAGTAGTAATGTGAATAACATTAAAATAAATCATGGATGCTGAATAACAAGTAATACTAGGGAATGACAAAGTCCATGGATAAGAGTGGCTTTCTGAGAACATCAAGTGACAATAAATTATCATTGCTTTCGATCTTGTACCCAAGAGAAACTCTTCAGCAGATCAACACCAAAGACATTTCAGGCTGCTCAGTCTGTTGCCTGTGCCAAGATTTTTTTAAATACTGGAAGGGAGGGGTGGGAGTGCCGGATATTTCTCTAATAGCAGGCTCCACTGTCTCTCAAACACATCTCTAAGGTTTCCTGGTATTTTTTTTTTTTCTACACCAATTTCTCACCCTCTTCCCCTCCCCCACTTCTTTATTTTTTTTAAATCTGGAGGAAATGGGCTTTGCATAGCTTTTGTCATAGCCAAATAACAACCAGATGTGACTGTAAACAAATCGCTTGTTCAACCTCAAGTGCTTCTGCTGCGCTTTAGTTCACACCGCAGTCCCTACCACCCCATGCTCAGAAGTGAGTCTGCTCACAGACTGACCAAGCCAAGGCCTGAGTGCCTACGGTGGGGCAGTATGTATGGGTGTGGCTGCTGTATGTTAGGGTTTGGGGAGCCAGGTCACGATTTCCACAGCACAAAAAACTTGGCTTGAGATGACATTGGCTTTAAAGAAGAGGAAAACAAAAGCAAAAGATCATCCATTTCATCTCTATACCGATGAGTGGAGGGTAAAGACTGATTTCTTTTTATTCTGTGTATCACGTTGCTAGAACTTTGTTTTCCATGAATTCTCTGGAGGTTGAAAACAGGGGGCTTCCTATTTGGCTAGCACAGGTACCTTTTTTAGCTTTGATAGTGAGATCTTGACATTGTTTAAAAAATTGGGATAAGTATTTAATATTGAGAAAATTAGGATATTTTACATGTAAAACAAAAAATCTGGATTTTGACTTCTTTTTTAAAAAATTGAAAGTTCTAGCCATGCTGGGTCCACATTCTGTTTGCCTCTTGGTCAGGTCTAATTCTACACAGTCCCTCACCCTGCTCTTCTCTGCTGGATGAGGCAGACACACAGCATCTCAGAGACCCTTGAATGTTGAGGCCGACAGTGATCAAAGCGGAAGATCAAAGGATCCTATCATGTTTTTCAAAAATGTAATGCTAAAACCATCAGCTAGATTATAGACCCCTTGAAGGAAGGAGTCACGGCTTTTCATCATCTCTTCACATTCCCCAGGTCAGGGAGACTCAATGTCTACTTATGTATTGACAGAGTAAACACTCACATTCCCACCATTAAGCAAGAGCATGGCTGAGTATGTGTAAATCTTAAAAGAAATTGTATTCTTCAGCTGCTCCAGTGCAGACTTGGAACCCTTAGCATCACAGAATCTCATATCTAATACCTAAGTCTTAGGATAAACTATAGTCCAAGCGGCTCTTGCTTCAAATGGAAAGACCCTGACTCCATCTAAGATCTAGTCCTTCTCAACAATCAGAAAGTCATTCCTGCTGTTGTCATTCGAGACACAAAGGTCAAAGCTCTTAGCAAGGCACACACTTGAAGTATCCTCTCTGCAGATCTGTTCTGGGCTGGAAATAGAGTCCTGCAGTAAGAGGTGCAAATCAAGCATTCATGAAGTATCCTCTCTGCAGATCTGTTCTGGGCTGGAAATAGAGTCCTGCAGTAAGAGGTGCAAATGCAAGTATTCATAGACACCCAGATAAACAGCAGGCATCTATTAAAGCTACACACATGAGGTGTGTTCAATGGTCCAGATCTAGTAGGGATCCAAAGCAAGAAGAGCTCTGATGGAAAAATAGGTACCTGCAGCTCCCACATAGAATGTTCCCCAGCAGGGGGATCTGGATTTAGCAATGTTGGTATTCCACTACCAGCTCCCCCAAAGTGTGGGAAAAATGGAAAAGGATTTTTACTTCAGAGACAGCTCCTGGAATTCATAGCATTTCTCCTTTCAGTTATTTCTAATTATACTTCACAATAACTGGGTTTCAAAACTGTTATTCTGGGAGTGGTATACGAGGGTGCACTCTATTTGTAGCTGGGGTAAACTACAGATATTTAGAGCACTTAGCATTTTCTTCCAGAATTCTTTATCTTCATACTTATCACCTGCCAGTTCTGTATTATACTTCACAATAACTGGGTTTCAAAACTGTTATTCTGGGAGTGGTATACGAGGGTGCACTCTATTTGTAGCTGGGGTAAACTACAGATATTTAGAGCACTTAGCAGTTTCTTCCAGAATTCTTTATCTTCATACTTATCACCTGCCAGTTCTGACCCTTGGCTTTACTGCTCTTTCTTGCAAAATTGTCATCATCTCTCTCCAGCATTTGCTCTCCCCCAGGTCCTTGAAGAAGACAGATCTTAGAATGTGTGAGCCACTGGTCTACCCCTAAGTCGGTGGCATTTCTTGAGCATTCTACCTTCTGGAAGCCCTTAAGAAAACTTCTCTACTCTTTTCATTTTTGAAACTTAAATTTTGAAATAATTTCAAATGTACAGGTAAGTTATAAGAATTGTACCAAATACTTCCACACACCCTTACCCAGACCCACCAGTCTGTTTTTTAAACTTCTGCTGCATTTGCTTTATCATTTTCTCTCTTTCTTTCTCCATATTTAATATTTTTACTCAAACATTGCAGAATAGGTTGCATATATCCTGAATTAAGCATTTATACCTTAATTACACTAAATCTCAGTGAAGTTATCGAAATCAGGAAATTCAAAATTGATGCAATACTTAAATCCATATTTAAGCCTATATTTCAATTTCGTCAATGGTCTCAAGAATGTCCTTTGTAGTATTTTTTTTGTTTTCTTTCCAGTACAGGATCCAGTCCAGGATCCTGTACTGCATTTAGTTGTCAAGTCACTTAATCTTCTTTAATCTGGGATTATTCCTCAGTCTTTTTTTTTTTTTTTTTTTTTTTTTTTTTTTTTTTT